TTAATGTCTTTAATGAGTATATAAAAAATTAAAAATTCTATTTAAAAGTTGAAAATTGTTGGGGGGTCTGGCCCCCCAACCAAATTATTGGAGAGGAGGGGAATTGCCGTGTTTTCGTCTACTTTAAAGAAGCATGAAATAATTGAWAAACTTTTTCKGAACTTGCTCTSGMCAAGTYTGGAAAGCWAATGGAACAGGTGATGTTCAACTAAAAAGGTCAAAAGAGCCAGTATTCTGATGACATTCATAGAAAAGTCACACGCTCTATTACTGCTTGGATAATCAAACTAATTTACGGTGTCGTGTAACGAACAATTATAGAAATTGGATTTATATTTGCATGATATGGACTCAGTTGAGAGAAATCTATATAAATCTCAATATACTGTAAAAGGAAACAGACGATTCACTCAAATTAGTGGTATTTTCTATAATTTCAACTCTCAAACGATCCGTATCGATCGTTGAATGTCGATGTCAGTTGGAGTTCATAGATTTTTCTACACCTATCAAGATAATTAACCGCCAGCTTAATCGTTTATCTAAACACTTAAGTTTTAACTAAAATATACAAAAGAATGTGTTATCAATTTGAGTTCTTTTGTCTATTACAGGGATACTCCCATGGAAATCGCCAAATTGTTTTTTTTTTATATATATATATTTTTCTTCAATTCTGATATTCTCAAAAATTTTGGTCATATAGATTTTTTTACTTCAATGACGTCATCGAATGCAATTACATGAATCAATCGAACCTCCGGCCCCCAAACCCAGAATCGATACGTAGCCGGGGATTTCTAGACCATTTGTTATGAATATTTTCACGTCACGTGACAATTGAACAACTTGGATGTATATATTGCATTGCGTTTTGTTATAGACAACGATCTGTACATTCTGACCCAAGACGGGTGAGCTAAACTGAGTGGAATTCTCAATTTTTTTAATATATATGTTTTGTAAAATCCCATTTGCCTTTTTAAGGAAAAACTCTATTACAGACATTGGGTGAAATCCTCACCACTATTTTCATACTCGTTGTCAATGTTTGGTTTCATGTTATCATTTTTGTTGTTGTTGTTGTTGTTGTTGTTGTTGTTGTTGTTGTTGTTGTTGTTGTTGTTGCGGTATTCAGAGCCCCCCAATGTCCCCCTCTTGTTGCTGTTGTTTTGTTTTAATAATAATTTCCTTTATTTCTATTTCCAAAATTAACTAGATAAATACAGCATATTACTATTATTATCAGCATTAAGAATATAGAGCATTTCTTATATTTCTAAATTTAGTCAGGTAGAAATGCTCGTTGTTATTTTTCTTTGCAATATATTTTTCAATTGTTTCGTGGTATTGCAAGAACGCCTTAAAACCAAATAGCWTAAGRTCGTATGACTAAGAGATCGYGCTCTGTAAATATACGCTTTRTAGATAAGTAGAATGAAATTAGTGGCCAGACAAAARCTAAGGTCCTTTTACTAATGATGTTAAATTAAGCGGAGGTAATTCAATGTTATCGTTATCTAGCCAGCAAATCATTAACTGTAATAGGMAAATATTAACATTTTGACTGATATTGAAACAATGATCTTAATTACAAAAGAGACAAAACATACTTTAATACATAAACATAATTTCTTGCAACTTCTTACATCCTACTGAATTGATCCCCCGAATCCATTTTAGTATTTCTTTTATAGATACGACAAAACTACATTCATCTTTGAAAAAAAAAACAGATTTTGCACATTTTAAATKCCAGAAAAAAGCGCGAGAGCTAGATATACCATCGTGCTTTGCTCAMAAATATGACGTCACTTCATATTTCCTGTAAAGTGATCAAATATAGCAAATGATAGAAACTGAGACCGAAATGTTATATGGGATGCTAGGGAATGACAAATGCATCTGTTCGGTACGCTGACAATATTCAGTAACTCGTTTTTCTACAATTTAGCTGATGGTGGTACTCGCTTTTATGTTTTTCTTTGTCGAAACAACTACTTTTGTACGCGCAAAAGAAGCTAAAACGGCTTAAGAGATTTGTTTTAGCGGACATCTAAAAGTGCGAGGACTACARCTCCCATCATGCATTGCACAAAATGGCGTCGCCGCAGATTGTCTAATAATAATGTAGAACCAGCATTCTCAGTGTGATGACACTTGATAGACAAGTTTTCAAACACCGTGTTATTTGATGTATGCTATCCAATGCACCTGTTCAGTTTCAATTTCTATGATCGTTAATCAAATTAGTCGGAACATGCTCAGAGCGACAACGTTTCAGACCTGAATTTTGCTCAGCGATCCAATTTATTCCATATTTTCTAATGAACTRAACAGAGTCAATGTGTATTGATTTTTACTACATTCTTTTTATCAAAAASCACCATAACTCCCTTGAAATAATCACCAAGCGTTCRATGTACATAGTCTTATCATGATTATTCAGAGTTAAAAAAAACATTGGGCGAAAACATTGGACGTACAGTCATGCATCTTTAATACTAAAACCTTCAATGGSCAATTTTACTTTATGTTATCCTGTTGAAGAAAACCATCCTCATCGGTGATTGGCCAGATTTTAGCCTGAATCAAACCTCACTATCAGTTTGATAATGCATATTTGTGTAACCAGGGCTGCATAATAGGCAATGCTTGAGATAGTGGTTTGAACTTTTGTTTCAAGGGAAGTCTTTATTTATATTAAAAACAAATTGAGTTAGTTCTCTATTTTTGTTTTTGAGATCGTTAACAGAACTTTCATTGTTTTATATGGGATCGAACGAGTTATCGGAACGGTTGATCAAGCTTGATGGAGACTAYAATTGGTTGATTTCGCAAATGTAATGTGTTTTTGTGTTCGATATCTGAAAACGGCTCTGCTTCATCAAACAAAACGAAACTGTTTCCCATTACAAATGCGAATAATGTCTCGTCGATTCCATTATCAATATTAATGTATTTATGCATCTTGCACAGGGTTAACGGCTTAAATTGTTTCAACAATTGGAAAAAGTTTCCTTTCCCAGCCATCAGAGGTCTGCGGGACACATTTCACGGCTGTTTCTTGTCAAGCAGACCTAAAACAGGTCCATAATTGAAGCAGACCGTTTTGTTGTTACTTCTGATGTTTCGCTAATGTAATTAATTGTTAATGACAAACTTCACTTTCATTATCAATTCAAGTAGGATCCTTGTGTTGCAGAGCCTTAAGTGGGTTCCTTTCCATCTGAAATACTCGTCTATGCAATTGTCTATACATCCAGCTCTTATCATCTCCACTCAGATTCAASCTACCGCGACGTCCAACGGGCTTTCTGGCATTTGATTATCTCTTCAACGTAWMTGAATYTAAAGTGTGCTGAGTAAGAGGGTCTTCCAGCTTCGTCCAAACGCGATGGTTTTTGATGTCTTAAATCAAAAAGGCGTGAAAGATACAATAAGTGCGTTAGTCTGCAAAGCATTCAGCTCTTCCTTTTACCTAGAAAAGGTATAATAGAGCTGAACAGAGAACTTATCATACATTCAGGTATGTGAGACATTAAATATGATGATGATCTATTAACCCTACTTTCGATAATCGTTTAGACGGCTTCAGTGCAAATAAGAAAAAGAAAAGGAAAAAGAAATAATCAAATTATTGATAAAAAGGGGATTTGAGTGCTTTAAGAATTCAGCTAATAATCACCAAATAGTTTCGTTGACTCGTTTTATAAACCAATGTTTTGAAATCTTATCATATTTGTATTTTTTCTCACAATTGTGTTTTGTTTTGRGGGGTTGAATATYTTCTCGTAATTTAACAAGAGGCGTGAGTCTACTTGCATCAGTGTCGTATTATKCTGTCTCTCGCTATAACACTTATGTTTATCTAGATGTTGTTTGCTTTCAATCATCTTCGCTCTTTCCTATGTTTTGAATATCTAAGTTCATGTAATCGTCCCAAAACGCTGTTTGCATTGTTGTTTATTCTCTTGAGGGAGACAGAACAGTGMAAAAATGTGTTTTAGGAAATTCGGACGATTATACAGACACTAGATCTAAGTGTAAAACCGAGTACTCTGAAATAATTCTCCACACCTGCCGTGAATGAGTACCTCACCTTGGCGTATAAGGTTTTTGTCATACAAATAATGGAATTTATTATTGTTCGTATCGTTGTTATTGTGTATCATGCTTGTTTTCCATTTAGAATTGATTCAATTATAACAATAAGATTGGACAACTTAATCACATGAATGTAATATGTATATATAAATATAGTGCTATTAAAATTGTTTTAACTGCTTTGTGTAWACCGAAAAAAACAGAAGTTAATTCAACATTTTTGTCTTTTGGATGTAAAAATAGTATCTTTAAACCATTTTAATTCGTTGTSAGCTAATTGTTTTCTTTTATCATGATTTAATTTGATTTTCTTTTTTCTATTGGCTCATGTTTTGATCGAGTTATCTAAATGTTTRAATAAGTAAAGCTTGCTTGATTAGCGGAAGATTGCGTCATCAATGCTATCGCTCCCTTTTTTTCACTTCTAAAGTTTTTTGCATTTTTTTCTTCATTTCTCATTTCATGTCAAACTTTTATCTGTYTTTCTATTTTCTTTCCTAATTGATTATAGATCATACACAAGTGATGGACTTTAATTCCATTTTTATCACTGAATAAATGTTTCAATAAAGAATCTGYAAACAGGTTTTGATGATCAAGCTGATCACACAACAACACTTAAGTAAGCTTTTCTTCCTAATATATATCCTTGGATGTTAGAACGATATAACTCTGTTATTCAATTGTTCAGAAATAGAGTGATGTTTGGATAGGGGGTATTTAATCCAAAATGCGTGGTCACGCGAAGATTTGTAGCTGTTCACTATGACGTTGTACTAACCGATGTTGATAATGAGAAAACTGATAATTGAGATTACTAAAGTAGATTTAATGATTTGATGTGGGCGCAGATACACRAAGCTGTATCAATAGAATAGATAATCTATGTGAAATGTGTTCTACTTAGCTTGTGTCAGGACAAAATACGAGAAAATGTTCCATGTATTCCCAATGTTATGGTACTTAATAAGGTTGTTCGGTCTAAACGAGCATTCACTTGAAAAAACGTAGTCATACTCATAGTTGTAGTTAAAGCTAACCGCACTGAAATGAAGCATGCGAAAGCAAATAACTAGTACAATATCATAATAATTTGTAAGCTTTTCAGTATCAAAAAGATTGTCTCCACTGAATGAAATTTACCCTTACTGCAAGTGATGCTATAATGGAACATATCAGTTAGACAAACTGAATATGATTCGAATTTTTGAGTACCCAAAATCCATCTCGGTCCTAGCTGTGACGATATCACAGGGAACCCGGCAAAAGTTTTTTTTCAATTACTTGTACTATAAAGCGTTATGTGTGGTTAGATYGAGAGTTAGCGTAAGACACGCCCTAGTGCAATATATGCTATGATAAGTCTAAATAACATACAGATCTTTGATAAGATACTGCTAACTTCAGGTCGTATATTTAAGCATATGCTTGATATTCGCAATAAACAACATATTTTCGTGCGTTCCTGGTGAAATAAACCACGCGGGATATTGGAGAACACGAAAAAGGCGTAAAAAATATCGAGCCATCGAGCCAGAGGCTTTTGTATTATAGCATTCTCGCATCCGTTCTTTTACCGGTGAAATAATAACATTTGACCAATCAGAGAGCGCCTACTATGATAGCTCTAATATGAGGCTTTATATTGTACGTTGAATACGTCTATATGTTTTAGTTATTCATGTTTCTATCTGTTTTCGTTTTGTAATAGTGATATCGATATTAGCGAYCATTAACACATACTAACAAAACAGTTTATTTATCTCGTTTTCATACCTACACTAAGCGGACATATCACTCGTAATTTTTCATGTTGCGGATTAGAAATTTGCAAATTTTGGGAAAATACTGTTAAGTGAATTGTTTGTGTAAAACGATCAAAGCATGGTGCTTGGTTTTACATGAGCTCACGCAACTCCAACTTTTCGTTGTTGCTCAGCTAATTTGCTCCTCTTTTTATTCTTAGAAGCAGGTACATTCATTATCATTCGGATACAATGATAACGTACCGTCACGACAAGAAGAAACGCCAAGGAACCATATCTAGCCAAACAACAACTACGATACTAATTACGGAGACGCAGACCCCCTCTTTTGCGGGTTATTAGGTCGAGTTTCATCTGCATTTCCCAAATTTCATATTTTTCAGTTGAGCAAAATCTGAAAACGCGGCATTTGGTTTCATGCGTCGAATTTACTGCAATTTTCRTGAATTACATTTGCAGTTATAAAATATAGTTATAAACGCACAAATGTTAATAAGAAATGCCGAAACATACCGAGATTAAAAGTATTTTTTTTATATATTTAATTTTCGTCAAATCGTAAATTTYCCTTAACTCCAATGTTTGATCGCTTATCGGTTGCAAAACTGCTTAATTACTATGAGTGCGTTAGTTGTATAAGAAACCTAAGCCGCTAAGACAYCTTTTTGGCCGTGATCATTAGGTTCCTTTTACAATGACAACAATAATGTCTTGAGGTCAAAACCGCAAGCGGCTCCACCATCACCATCCAATGGAATCCTAGYGCGCTATTTAAAATCCCAGCGCCTGCAAATCACTTATACCGACAGCTAGGTGAGAAGCTAMGCGCGCGAGGGTTTGCCYTGTYTTGTTTTCAAACAGCTCCACAAAGAAAACAATAGTGTGCCACTTCTCTGGGCGTGGCTGTGGGCGAGTCAAATAGTAAGCAGCCTGTCACCTTCAGTTGCTAAGGAAGCCATTTGTGTTGTTAATAGGCGTATAGAGCGCTTTGTTCTCGTAGATGATGAATATCCAAAATGCTGCTCCAAGACCACTCAAGG